AGGTATAGTTTGGATTACTTTGTTTATCATCCCTAGCACCTGCTGTAACACCACCTTATTTTCTCTTTCTTTTCTTTTCATTTTCCTATTTTCCATTCTTTTTCTCTATTCTATTCTACTCTATTCCCTTTCTCTACTCTATTCTATTCTATAAGAAAAGGATCAACTTGGGGCATTAACCCCTCCCTTCCCCTCTTTTGGAATTGGGGGGCTATTTTTGGCTGAATGGTGGGGGCTCCTTGGGACCCCCTGCTTGTTGTTTAAAATGTATCATCTGCCCAACTCCCAATGGACTTCATAAATCCTGGCACTGTTAAAATCCCTTGATTTAGGTCAAGTATCTTGGATTTTTTCCTCTCTCCCATAATCCTTAGCTAGCATGGTCAGGTGGAGTTACAAATCCAGCGTGGGGCCAGCAAGAATCCTCTGAAAAGAAACACATCCTTTATCCAAAAGGGAGCTTTTTCAGGGAAGATCTGAGATTGCGGCTCTAATGTGCAAAATGTGCTTGCCAGTAACAATCCTCTTTCTCTCCTGTTTAATCTTGTTTTATTCACAGGAAATAAAACGGAGATATTTCCAAAAACTATTCAGTTGCTGTGTTTATATCGGTTGCTAAGGTGTAGTTTTTAGCAAAATAAATCTCCAAATATCAGTGGATCAAAATTTATTTAGGGTGGAAGACCAAACACAAGAGAAGTCCAGCATGCAATGCAATAAAACTCTAAAAAAGAGAATAGAATAGAATTCTTTATTGGCCAAGTGTGAGTGGACAGAATTTGTCTTTGGTGCATAAGCTCTCAGTATACATAAGGAGAATAAAATACATTCATCAAGAATCATAACATCGACACTTAGTGATAGTCATAGGTTACTAATAAGCTATCAAATCGTACTAGGAAACAATAAAAATATAAATTGAAAGATACAAGCAACATGGTTAAGAGTCCTAACTGGAAAGAGATAACTAGGAAGGAAGAGAAAAATAATAGTAATACATTCTTGGTAAATTATTGACAGTGTTGTGGGAATTAGTTGTTAAGCAGAGTGATGGCATTCAGGAAAAAAACTTGTGTCCTTGTGTCTAGTTGTCTTGGTGTGCAGAGCCCTATAGTGTTGTTTTGAGGGTAAGGAGGTGAAACAATTTATGTCCAGGATGTGAGGGGTCTGTAGATATTTTCACAGTCCTCTTTTTGACTCGTGCAGTGTGCAGGTCCTCAATGGAAGGCAGGTTGGTAGCCATTGTTTTTTCTGCAGTTCTAATTAGAATTAGAGCCGAGGTGGCGCAGTGGTTAGAGTGCAGCACTGCAGGCTACTTCAGCTGACTGCAGTTCTTCAGTTCGGCTGTTCAAATCTCACCGGCTCAAGGTTGACTCAGCCTTCCATCCTTCCGNGTCCAAGTAAACTATATCGACGGCATTCCTCTGGTCCACCTATTTTGTCACATTATCAAACAATGCAATAAGATTAGTCTGGCACATCCTGGCATTTGAATATCTTTTCTATGGCTTTCATTGCTACCTTACAATCACTGGTTTCTGGTACGTGTCTGATGTGTATCCTTTACTCTTGATAATCAGTTGTAAAAGGCAAATGCTACCTACCACTTCTATATCTACCACTGTCAATTCTCAAACATTAATATAGGGGCTTCTGTTTGCTTCCAGTGTTGCTATTTCAGTTGAGCCTTGTTATGGTATGCGGTTTGATTTTTCTTTAGTCTCTCTAGAAGTTAATTGAAGTTAATGGGTGGGGTTTTAAAATAACAAATCAATCATGTTTTATGTCATTTTATAAGAGTGCTAATTATAATAATTGAATGCCTAAAGCAAAGCACTGAACAGAACATATTGACCTGAGCAGAACGTATTGGGCATTGCTTAAATAGTTCATAAGCAACTATGACCTAATTAAAACCTGAACGTTTGCTGGATTGCAGAAGACTACAATAGAATAGAATAGAATTGCTTATTGGCCAAGTATGATTGGACACACAAGGTGCATATGCTCTCAGTGTACACAAAAGAAAAGGTACATTCATCAAGAGTCATAAGATGCAACACTTAATGATAGTCATAGGGTACAAATAAGCGATCAATATCAATATAAATTGTAAGGATATAAGCAACAAAGTTACAGTCATACAGTCATAAGTGGGAGGAGATGAGTGATAGGAAAAATGAGAAGATTAATAGTAGTCCAGACTTAGTAAATAGTTTGACAGTGTTGAGGGAATTATTTGTTTAGCAGAGTGATGACGTTCCGGAAAAAAACTGTTCTTGTGTTTAGTTGTTCTGGTGTGCAGTGCTCTATAATGTCGTTTTGAGGGTAGGAGTTGAAACAGTTTATGTCCAGGATGTGAGGGATCTGTAAATCTTTTCACAGCCCTTTTTTTGACTCATGCAGTATATAAGTCCTCAATGGAAGGCAGGTTAGTAGTAACTGTGTTTTGATGACTTACAAATGCCTGTGTTTAAGTTACAAAAACTGCTGTTTCAACGCAATGTTCAATATCATATTTTAAAGATATAATAATGATTGATACCATAATGATTATGATATACCACAATGATTATGGTATCAATAATCAGCCCTGTGATTGGATTGCTCTGTGTTGGCAATTGTTTCTGAGTGTTTAGACTCTAGATTATTCACGTTGCTGAAGTTTTTTTCTGGTTCCTAGTTTCTGATTTGCACAAAACTTTGAACAAGCTATCATTCAGCATGAGGCTGCAGCTAAATCAAATCAAATCAAACCTTTATTGTCAATGCAAATGAAATTGAATAGATTTAAGAATAGAGGCTTCCCATGTTATACGTCCCTCTAACTAGGATACTGTACACCGTCAAAGGAAGAAGTAATGTCTGTTTAAATAAAACCATAATATTTGCCTAAAAGAAGTAACCCAATTAATCCTATACACATCTTGCAATACAGGGAAGCACTAGCAACTTCAACCTTATGTCTGAGCAATTACTTTCCATGAAAAGATATCAAATTGCCTAATAACTCTCCTAGGCTTACAGTGAATTACCATAACACTATTTGCATAAATGTGCATATGAAAGAAGGAGGTCATCCAACACTGAGTACATTTAGAAAATATCACAGGAGTAGCATAGTTTTTGGTTTATTTAATGGGACACAACTCATAGAAGGAGGTGACTCACAGCTTAACTTGGGTAACTAAAGTTAAACAACAACAATCTAAGCCTCGTGAGACTGATTGTATTGATTTGGTACTAGTTCTGGACACCGCTAAGAAATCTCAGGGATATAACCTAGACTGGGAAGTTGAAAAAAACTTTCTGAAAAAAAAAAGGCAATGATAAACAATTTAAGTAATTGATTCAAGACTATCATTATCTTTAATACTCATGAAATTAAGGTCAATAATTTAAAATAAATAAGGAAAAGATTGAAATCTGAAACATTTGGTGCTTCATTGGCAGGCTTTGGTGTGGCATGATAGCTGTCGTTTTCTGGTTTGCTGATTTAAAATTATTAATGTAAGCATTAAACAGCCTTTCTGTGAGCTTTG